CGGGGCCCTGGCAGCCTTGAGGGTGGCCTTCGCTGTTGTCACCCATCGGATGGTTCCTTCGCCGCTCTGAAGGGTGAGGAGGCGGCTGGGCCGGCGATCGCAACTGAGCAGTGGTGCTGCTTCTCCTTTCCCGGAGCTTTTCTGACTTGACGTTTTCTTGAGGGTGTGGGGAGAGGCGAGTCTGGTCAAACAGGACTTAGAACCGCAAAGGGAAAGACTCAGTCCCCCGATCGTCTGCAGGTGATGTGCTTATCTGCGCGGGAGCTGCCCCAAGCCAGTGGATGAGGATCATGTCTGTGTATTGATGATGATCACACACTTCTTTTGAAGAAGTCAGCCCTCAGGTGAGCTCGTTCTCAGGTGTTTATAAAGCTGTTGTTGACTAGGGGTGTTTTGTCTTGTTGAGTGGCAATAAACTAGCTTCCAAGCATCCCTTATGTCCTTTCCTTCATGTCCTTCCTTATAGAATTGTTCTATATGTTATCTGTGAACAAGAAAATGGGAACAGTGAGGACTGGAAAGGTGGCACACAATGACAGCACACTGCTTTGGTTGTTGGGGCTTTTTTCGTTTAAAATCCCCTCACCTGCAGTAGGTTGCAGGCTTTGCTGGAGTGGCTCTGATATCAGCATTTGCCTGTTCTTACTACAGCCCCATTGATCAGTAGCTTGGGCTTTGCCTGGGCTGTATTTTGCACTTGCTTCTTTCTGTGCTGTTGGGAACTCTGTCCCGTATTCCCGTGTGGGAGGCAAGTCGTCAGCTCAGAACTACCCTTGCCTGCGTGTTTTGTGCACTCTGCTCCCAGTTCCCCAGCTGTTGGCTGCCATGATGCCTGGTCCCCTTAAACGTACGCTTTGGCAGGTTATAAAAATGTTCAGTGCGAGCCAGTCCTCCAAAGCCCAGTTCCTCGACAAGGCGCGCCAGGCTCGGGAGGAGCGGAGGGAGCTGAAGGAGAGGGAGCGCGCCGCAGTCCAGGTCCAGGCTTTGATCAGGAGGTTTCTCTGTCGCTGCCGCCTGCAGAGGGAGATCAGGTGTGTGAAACTCCGCCTTCCGGGCTTTGCTCTGCTCTGGAGAGGTGTGCTTGGTCTTTTTTTACCTACCAATGCTCGTTTTTCCCACTTTGATAGGAGAGAAGTGGAGGATTTCTTTGGGGCAAATGAATCTGTCTCAAGTAAAAGAAGTGCTCTTTCTGTCTTCAGAATTGCCAGGAAGCTGCTGTTTGTGTTTAATCATAAAGAGGACAAAGAGGTAAGGTGGCTCTTCTGGCACGCTTTTCTTTCAAGGACATATTTTGACAGGTTAAATGTGTTTGTTTCATTGTTTAGTGATCATGTTGGTTCCTGGGATATACTTTGGCTTTGGAAATGTGATCTCTGTCTCCTGGTCCTTCTTGGAGAGATCTGCCTGTGAGAATGAAACAGAAGAACCCTTGAATTTTTTAGTAGCGGTTCCATATCCAGGGCATCGTTTAACGAATGTTTTTCCTGGTGACTGTGCCAGCTTCAGTAACAGAGCAGTGCCTTGTGATTGGGGCAGGTGCCTTGTGGCCCCCGGGAGGTGCCTTGTGGCCAGCTCACAAAGAGCTGTGCTGGCAGAGTGCAGGCTCTTTGTATCGCAGCTGCTTTTCTGACCGTGCCCTGAATTTGTGGTTTCAGAGTGAAGCCCTTTCCTGTAGGGTCTATGGAACGATGATGTTTGCCCCAGGAAACTGGGAGGGCTCATTGTAAGGAAGACAATTTGAAAATGAAAGGCTGTATTGAAATTACAGCAGCAGTGGGTGACTTTTTTCTTTTAAACCTGCGTTCCATCTAACTCCTCTTCTGTTGATGATGGTGCAAGTACTGCAAATGCTGTTCTCTGTGTGTACAGCATTAAAAAGATTGCTTATATTACATCCATACAGAATTTTTAAGTGCCTGGCATCCTCTGAAGTTCTACATTATATTAATGGGGTGATTCCTGAAACACATCTGCTCTGCTTCCCCTCCTTCCCCTTCCAGCAGCGAGTCAGTCCCTCGCGGGGCCGAGGACTAGACCGTGCTCCGTTAGGGCAACCCCAGCAGCCAGTTCCGTACCTCAGGATGGCTTTATAACTTGCCAGCCCAAGTGGGCTGAAATCCCAGTTAAGGAGCGGTGGATGTGATCTCCGAGTTCTGCCGCGACGGTCGGGAGCGGGGAGCACGCTGCCGCGCGCGTCGGCGGTGAGCTCCTCTAGCCGCAGCCCAGCAGGACGCTGCTTCCCCTGGCTGCAGCCCGTGGTGCTGAGGGAGGGAAGGCTGAGGAACTCGCCCGGTGACGAGCGCTGCGGGCAGGGAGGGAGCTCTGCTGCACCGCTGCAGCCCGCCCTGGAGCCGAGGGCGCGGGGAAGGAGCCGTCGGCGCTGTCTGGAGGGAGCGTGTTTGGGTCTTCCGTTTGTTTGACCCAGAGGGATCTTGCTCTCTCCGCTGAGCTCTTCCTGGTGCTTTTCCAGAATTGCCCTTCCTGGGGTTCAAACTAATGCCGCCTTTTTTTTCTTGTTCTTTTCCCCAGAGATTTGAAAAGCTGTGTCGTTGCATTCTTAACAGCATGGACGCTGAGAATGAGCCCAAGGTGAGCAGGATGGGGTTTTTCTTGGGGAGTAGGAGGGTGGTTTGGTCTTTTTAATCCTGTGTGTGGGGAGTACGTTGCTGATACTTGAATTTTTAGCTTTCAAAAGCCCATGAACATGGCGAAAGTTTGGACAAGCTCTTAGTGTCCCTCTGATATTTTTACTCTGTGTACAGCTGTAGGCGTTAAAGGGAGATTTCTTTCTGTACGCTTTGAGCAGTGAGTTCTGGGGAGAGAGAGAACTTGGTTCCGCTGCCGGCTTCAGCAGGGCACCGAGGAGGTCGTGACAAAGCTCCCTGGTGCTGTGTCCTGCCAGGCTGTAGCACAAGTACTAACCCCTGCTCCCGTGGGCGTCCTGCCTTCCTCAGGTGTGGTACGTGTCGCTGGCGCTCTCCAAGGATCTCACGCTCCTGTGGATCAAACAGATCAAAGACATTTTGTGGTTTTGCTGTGAATTTCTCAAGCAGCTTAAGGTAAATATTTTCCTTGTGATTTGTCTCCCTGCATTTAGTCCTTCTGTAGCGCGGCCCGGAGCTGATTCGGTTTATAAACACTGGTGTTTGTTATCGCAGCCTGACATCTTGCAAGACTCCAGACTGGTCAATTTGCACCTCACGATGCTCGTCACCTTCACGGACACTTCGACGTGGAAAATCCTTCGGGGAAAAGGTTGGTGCATCCGATTCGGTACTTTCAGCCACCGATTTGGGACTCGCTCTTGAAATCTCCCAAATGCTGTTTCTGCACCTTGTCTTCTCCCCAAGCTTGCCACTAAGACTCATTGTGCTTCTGTGCTTGCACAAAGCGCAGAACAGGCAGCGAGGATTCCTTTGAGGTTAGACAGGTGATTTTCCTTGGAACAGCGACAGTTACAACGTTTTTATAATGCTCCAAAATCTCACGCACGAGAATTGTTCAGAGGATAATGGAAAGTGGTTTTATGTCAGGGTTTTTGTAGGAAATACGCAGAGAAAAGGTAGACGAGTCTCATGAGAAAATACGACTTTTAAACAAGACTTGATGTGAAATGCTGCGAAAATGGTGGCTTTGCCTATGAGGACAAGGGCTTTGTGCAGGAAGGGGTGATGAACGGTGCTGTAGTGTGTAAGGAGGTGGGACTGTGGGGCTGATCCAGTAACGTCAGTGTTTTCACCCGGAAGGTGAGACCCTGAGGCCTGCCATGAACCACATCTGTGCAAACATCATGGGACACCTGAATCAGAAGGGATTTTATTCTGTGCTGCAGGTCAGTCTCGGGCTGATACCGTGATGTCTTCTCTTTGTTCAGAACAAGCCCCAGTCCTGCGCTGTGGCCCTTGTTCTGAGGAAGCTTTGTGGAGGTGGTCAGGGAGAAGCTGGTTGTGGAACGCTGGTAATTTGTGTGGGGGCGTATTTTTCTTCAAAGCAGTAAAGCCGAGTCTCCCCACTTGAGGCCAAATACACCATCTCCTTGTTGTCCCTGCTGCTGAATCTGAATCCTGGTTAATCATCCCATAACGAGACGGACAGGGAGGACTTTTGGATGTTTTTCCAAACTTGGCTGCTGCCATGTTGTATGGATTTGCTTTGCTGACTGTTCTGAAGGGGAAAGGAATTGATGTAGTTTTTCTTAATCTTTTAAATGAGAACGAGATTAGCAGGCAGCTATGAGCCTTGCTGTTACTTTGAAAAGGCCTGGAACCCTGAGTACAGGTCCTAGAGAAATGAGTACCGTAGAGCGGCTGATTGCAGTTTCTCTGTTGTGCCGTTATTAACCTGAAGCCTTTCTCGTTCTGCCAAATGACTGGTAGTAACTGGTTTTTAGGTTTCTTTGGTGGTGTTCTTTTTCTCTGTGTCTTTCAGGGGTAGTCATGATCTTTTTTCTGAGTACTGCAGGGTTTTTTTGACTTTTGTTGTTATTGTGGGGTTTGGTTTTGTGTTTTGTTTTTCCAGATTTTGCTAACTAATGGCTTGGCACGATCCAGACCCTCCTTGTCCAAAGGCTCTTTAACTGCCATCTTCTCTCTTGCATTGCGGTAAGGCAGCCACAGTTGTCTTTATGGTGGGTTTTTTTGAAGACTTCTCACTCTGCCCGTCTCTCTGTGCCATTGAGAGTATCACCCTCAGGGAAGAAGCTGCTTTAGGCAAAACACTCGCTTTCCTGTCATCTGTTTTCAGATCAGAATGCTCTTGACTCAGTAATTCGTGTTTTTTGGAGAGCAGTTCCAGTTCAGAGTACAGGACCTGTACGTCTTTCTGTTGAACCATCACAAGGGGTTGGAGTTCTTGCCCTGAGTGTGGTTGTGCCTCTTTGTGATGCAGGTGTACCTGTTACTCGATGTGCAGGGGCAAAGTTTGTCCCTGAAACGAGGATTGGGTGCAGCTCTTCCTAATGGTTCAGTCTGTTCTCTTAAAAAAAGAAGAGTCTGCTCTTACCCTGACCTCACCTGCACAGCCCATGTCTCTTCCCTTTGGAAATCTGCAGCCAGTAACGAGCACTCGTTTAAGACCTCAATGGCTAATTGCCCGCTGCTTCCCTGCTGCAGCGGCCGCTGCTGGGGTGTTCAGCAGAGAGCAGTGGATGTCCTTGAATGTGTCACCTAACGTCTTCCTAAGGAAAACAGCTAATTACTGACTGTGTGGCAGCGGGGAGAAGGGGACCTTAGGACATGGCCCGTATAACCCTCGCAGCGCTGCGGGTGGCGTGGATGTGCGGTGTCCAACTACATCGTGCTGTAGTTTGGCTTCTGTTCCTTTGAGTCATGAGCAATTTTGTGAACTTGCTCTGATAGCAGAAGCGTAAGTGAATGTTCTTTTTCCAGTGGTGCCTCTTGACGAGCCTAGAAGCAGAGGCTCGTTCCGGGTGGCTCGGCTGAAAGCTGCATCTCGCTTCGCTGGGTCAGGTTTCTTGCGCTGAAGTGTTTTTCTCTCTGTAGCCCTGTGGTTGCTGCGCAGTTCTCAGACAATCTGTTGAGGTCGTTTCTGATCCATATCATGTCTGTGCCTGCTATAATGACTCATCTTGCTACTCTAACACCTGAGGTAAGTGGGTGATGTAATAGTACCAAAAATCCACTGACTATCACATAAGGCCACTTGTTATTCCATTTTATCAGCTCTTGGAGCAGAGCATTACATTTCCCTCATTGCCAGGTTCAGCTCTCTGTTGTGGACGCGTGTGATACTTACACCTTCCAGATACTCTGGGTTTCTAATTCCACAGAAGTTATTAACGCCAGTGGGATGATGGGCTGCACTGCCCTAAAATGAACAAACGAACTAACAAAAAAAAAGGGTGAAACACAGCTTGAATGTTTGCACGTCCTTATTCTTCCATTTCTGTAACCATAGACAGAGCCAAAGCAGAAATCAGTCTGTTGCTGGGCAGAGAGTCTGTGATGGTGAGCAGTAGGCTGTCCGCTAACCTCATTTCATTTGTCTGCTCCTCTGTGTAGCTTGGTGCAGACAGGCGAGTTTTGTGCCAAACGGGCACTCTGTGTTCTTGCAGACAGACGGTTGTGAAGGTCTGTCTGCAACTCGAATGTTCTCCTGCAAGGCTTTGTGTTTACTAGGCCAGCTTCATGTCAAACACTCTTCAGTGCAGCAGTCTCAACTTGCTGCTTTGTTGGGAAGGAAAAGACAATTCGAATTGCCGGTGGCAGATCAGGCGCGGTGGTTCTGTGCGGTGCGTCTCAGCCGCACTGGCCGTTCAATTCTGTCTTTCAGCGCCTGGCAGTGATAGAATCTCATGATCTTTTCCGCAAGTTCGTCCTGTTTTTAAGTCGTGAGGCACAATGCCGAGACGTCTGCGTGTGCTTAGAAGGAAGCCACACTCTCTGTTTGTTAGGTAAGCACCTGTAACACCTTTG